CCATTTCCAGGCTCTTCCCCGGGGCCAGACAGTGGGTTGTCATCCTCGTCTCCTCCTCCTGCCCCGCATCGGCCCCCACGTAGTCATGGAGCTGGGCGATTCTGTCTTCACTCTGGTCCGCCTTCCCTGACCCCCACGGCCCTGAGCTTAGTCCCCGCCACCTCCATCCCTCTCCAGACCGTCCCCACTTTTCTCCCCTCCCGTCCCTTCTTTTGACATTGTAGGCAACTCACCGCTTTATAATGCAGTTCTGACTGTGTGGTTCTCCCTAGAAGACCCGTAACCCTGGAGCGGTTCAAAAGGTGCATTTTACAGCCCAGCAAACAAACCAAAGCCAGGTTCGGAGAGCCGCAGCAGACCTGGTCTGGCCTCCACACCCCTCATCGCCCACCCTCCCTGGCCTCTGTCTCTTACCCTAAACTCTGCCCTATCCGTGCTGTTTATTCTTTGTGGGAAGCCTTCTGTCCTCTCCTGCTCCTCCCTCGACTTCGGCTCTCAGCTGCCGGTGATGCCTCTCCCAGGTGCCCTCACTGATCTCCCCAGACGTGACTCATCTTAGCCTTTTTGTAGCTTTTATCACCTCTTTGAGTAACTGCCCTGGGCTGAGCACCAAGGGAGGGAGGTGCGGGGCTGTCTGCCCCCGGGAGTCTATGAAGGGAGGAAAGGGACACTAGACTGAATTACACTAAATACTTCCATTGCATTGAGAGAGAGAGAAGGAATGTTTGACATGGCTGGAGGGGTCTGGAGGAGGTGACACTGAGCAGAGCCTCTAGGGGACAGAAGCTGGGGCAAGCCAGGAGGGGGGGGTGGAGTGTTCGGGACAGTGGGGGCCGGGGGGAACAAGGCCTTGCCAGAAGGGAGCCTGGGGGGTTTCAGAAGATCTCGCGTCCAGCCCGGGTTTACTACAACGTAACTCTGACCCCTTCCCTCTGAGAAGCGAGGCCTAGTCCCCCTGGATGGGAGGCTTGCTTCCTCCTGCTTGTCCAGAGCTCGTGCTCTAGCATCCCACCCCCGGGGAGGAAGGTCACGCTGCCTCATGGGGGGGCCACACAGAGGGATGCCCACGGCCAACAGCACCTGGGGGCCGTGCCCCTGAGCCACTTTGCAGGTAAATCCTGCAGCTCCACGTGCCACTGGCCTGGTTCCCCAGACCCTGCCCACATCCCAGGTCCATTAGCAAAATAAAGATCGGGGCCCTTTGAAGGCCCCCAAGTCTTGGGCTGGCTTTGAGCAGCAGCCACCGGCAGCTGGACCAGGCTGGCGTCCTGTGTGTGTCCAGCAGCGGGTGGCAGGTGGCGCTCGCTTGGTGGCTAAGTGGACGGCCCTCTCCAGGCCTTGGTTGGGAGCCCACCGCGGCTACTCACCCCGTATTTGTGTGACCTTTGGCAAGTCCGTTCATCGCTCTCTGCTCCCGTGTCCTTCGCTGCGCAGTGTGCACAAAACTGTTTCCATTTGTTGTGACGGTGGGTGATGGAGTAAGTGACGAACGCAGGCGAACGCAGATCTCCAGGCAATACAGACCGGCCTTGGCAGCGTCGGGACAAGCCTCGGGGCGGCTGACCGTGACTCTATGGAGTGGCTCTGTTTCTGGTTTTAGAGCAGGTGCATGCGTGTGCGTGCACGTCTCTGTGCTTGTCTCTGCACGCGCGTGCGTGTTTGCCTGTGTGCGCGCGTGTGAGCGCACGCATCTGCCGCATCCGCTTTCAGTCCCATGTGCCGCGGCGCTGTCTCTGCATTCACAGTTTATCCCATGAGACGGCCGAGTCCAGGGCCCGACCCTCACTCCTGCATCCCCAGGACCCGAAGCAGGCCCGCACGCGACGCGCGTGACAACTGTGTGGTTAATGAGTGCCCGCGCAGCGCTTGCACGAGACGTGCGAAGACACCCCCGGTCCCGACCGGCTCCCGACCCGCTGTCTGTAGGGTCCCTCCGCAGCGGCGGCCCCTGCCTTTGTCGTGAGCATCAACAGAAAACACGCTGTCCCTCCGCCCTCGCAGCCAAGGGTCCTGTGCTACCTGCGTCCTCTCAGATGTGCTCGGGGGTCGGCCAAGGACCACTAGGAAAATACTGAAGCTTCACCAGGCAACTGCTTAATTGCGGGCAGCAGTAGGATAGCACAATGAGACAGAACGTGTGCTTGCTTTAGAATGAGTCTTTTTTTTTTTTTAAGATTTTATTTATTTATTTGACAGACAAGAGATTACAAGGAGGCAGGCAGAGAGAGGAGGAAGCAGGCTCCCCGCTGAGCAGAGAGCCGGATGCGGGGCTCGATCGCAGGACCCTGAGAACATGATCTGAGCCGAAGGCAGACACTTAACCCACTGAGTCACCCAGGTGCCCCTAGGATGAGTCTTATTTTACTTGTCACTTCATCCTTCCATTCATCACTGTTACGGGCCGGTGTGCTTTGCGTCAGTCCTCATACTCAGCAGAAGGAGACGCTGAGGCAGTTGAGTTAGTACGAGACCTGGGGCATCCACTTGTGACTTGCCCTGAGGGTGGAAACCTTTTCCAGACCCAGACTTACTCCGTGGCCCGGTACTGTCTTCATTCAGCTTTCACGCGTGTGGGTTTTATCCTGTGACAGCAGGCCGCCCCTGCAAGGACAGGAGGGTCTTGACTCTCCTCAGCGATCCGTGCTCGCAGGGACGGCGGCTCGTGGGAAATCTCAGCCAGCTGAGTCCCTTGACGTCACTGTGGTTGACTGAGGACAGGCCTGTCACTCCGCCTGTCACCGCACCCGGCTGCAGAACGAAGGAGGTCACCAGAAGAGGACTTGGAGCCCACGCTCGTGTGCTGTCGACTTTCTAGATTTCTGACGAGGCGTTTATTTACATTCTCCTCCTGCAAAGAGCCGGCCTTGGATGTGTAGGGAACAGGGGAATGTCTCGTGAAAACTTCACTTGTGCACACACACACACACACAAACATGTTGGTCTAAGTATCACTAAAGGAGTGTACCGTATCCTCGTTGAAATGCGCGCTCTGTATTCCTTCCACAGCTCTGCGCGTCGCCCTAAACACACCCGCATCTATCATCAGAGCCCCTACCTGTGCCATCCGGTGGGTTTTATCCCTCAAACTGGACTCCTTTCCTGCTTGTGGACAAAACCTAGACCGGAATGTGGCCTAACGCTAATGAAACAGTAGCCACCTGGTGTTTCCTTTTTCTGGGTCCTTCCCTCCCACCTGTCCATTTCAGGGAACCACGTTCCATCGCGACCTCTTTAGAGCTTGGGTGGGGTTTCCCTCCCTTGCCCCCCTCTGGACCCCCCCAACCTGCCTCTGTGGGTAATGACAGCCACCTGGTGGCCATATGGGGGAATGGCAGGTGGATTGCCCCCAAAAGGGAAAGAGGTCTTTTGAGTGGTCTTCCTTCAGAGGGAACAGGGACAGGGAAGCCTGTGATAGCGTGGGAACCAGATGTCCTGCTTCTCGGTCTCCCCTTGCCTCCCAGGACACAACGTCCCATCCACACTCGTTCTTATGGACAGATGAATTCACTCAACAGTGGAGGACATTCCATCAAAATTTATTGAGCAGCCACTGTGTGCCGACACTGGGAATACGGCGGTGACCAAGATGGACACGGGCTCTGCCCTCGTGAGCTTAGAGTCCAGCCGCCAGCCAGCCGATCACATCCGTAATCTTAAAATTTACACTGGATTAGTACTCTGAAATAAGTGTGATGCTAAGAGACAATCTAATAGAAAACACTGCTTTCTACACCGAGGAGTCATAAGAGCTCCCGAGGAAGAAGCATGTAGGGTCAGCTAGTTGGGGGATGGCAGGAAGCGTGTGGAGGCAGAGGGAACAGTGTGTGTGAGGACTCTGGAGCAGGGAGACACTCCGTGGGCTGTGAGACAGCCTGTGTGGCTGGGACACAGGGAACAGGAGAGGCATTGGCAGAGGAGGGGCACCTGCTGGTTTGTGCAACATCTCTGGATGGACGGGACTTTGTTCCCGAAGCACCCAGGAGGCACTGAAGACTCTAAAGGAAGGAAATTCAGATGCCTGGGTTTGGTTCTCAGCGCTCACTCGGGCTGCTGCGTGGGGGTCAGACGTGGACTTGGGAGGCTGGTGGGAATGTGTGCACGGCAGTCTGGCCAAGCGGTGATGACGGCCAAGAGGAAGAGGACGCGTCCCAGAGGCACTGCGGAGCTGAAGTCTATTGGAGAGTGACCAGGGTGCGAGGAGAGGGGCGCGTTTCCAGCAGGAGGCGCTGCGGTGGGATACTCTGGGGGTGCGGCGGGTGGGGGGGCAGTTTGGGCAGACCGGAGGCTGGTGCTGGAGCAGCAGCATAGCTTGGGTTCTCCAGTCGTGTTGGTGTCACTGAGAGGACAAGATACACGTGAGACCACTGCAGAGCTGACTGCACATCAGAAAGCTTCTGTGAATTCACGGCCTCTTGTATCACATGGGCCCGAGTAGAAGCCCTCAGTCTCCCGTGATTCACAAAGTGCTGAGGCCGGGACAGGTCTCCGCCTCTGGCCATGCCTTTCCTGGCTAGCCTCTCCGAAAACGCCTGGGCAGCAAGCCCAGTGCTTCCTCTCCCCTGCCTGGGCTCTGGTGACCCCCCCCGCCCCCTCCCTCCTGCCCCACTCTGGCCAGGCAGGCCCATGCACCTCTCTCCCCGATCCTTTCTGGCCCGAGACTGTTGAGAAATTCACCTCCTGTCATCCTCATTCCCCTCCCTCACTGGGGTTAAAGGAGACGAACCCGGCCACTCTCCCCTCAAAGGTGGCTGTCTTTTGCGACCAGCCTAAGACAGGGAGAGCCTCTCTACACGGGAAGAACATCAGCTTCAGATTTAGACTTGAGTTTGCACCCTGGCCACTAACTAGTGTGCCTTCCTGCCACTAAATCTTGCCGAGCTTCAGGAGTTCCCTCTACTTGCTGGATGGGATGCTGCCTGGGGTCATCAATCATTTACTAGAGCCAAATATGGAAAGAATCTTTTAAGCTTCAAAAAGAAATCTAAAAATCATGCAAAATCGTGGCGAAGGTGCCCATCTCTTGGAGTAGTTGTATTTAAAAGGGTGTATGAGGCACGTACCATAAGCTCCGGACTGAATTACCGACTACCCCTTCACTTCCTTTCTTCCCTTTGGGGTTTTAACTATCAAGTTCAGAAGGCAGATCAGCCAGTTCCGTATGGCCAGCGATGGACACTTCCCGTTCCTGTCTGTGGCAGTCCCATCCTCCTGCAGCCGTCCCCATTCCCATCACTGCCACGAAACTTCTCCCATCCCTCATCCCTGTGTAGGACTCCTCCCTCTCCGACTGTCAGAAAGTTCTGCCTGAGCTCTGGCTGTCTCCCTAATCCAAAATACCTCATCTTCTCGTGTCACTCCTGAGAATGAATGAATGTGCTTCTAGCATTCTCCCTAACTTTGAGCTAATCACAGTGGGCCTGGGAAGTAGGACCTGTACGCTTCAGAGGGACACGGGAACCACAGGCCAGTTCCCAGAGTGGAGTGGAGGTCTACGTCCCGCACTCCGCCCCCCCCCCCCCTTCCAGGGCACAGAAACAGCCAAACTCAAAATACATCCTGAGTCTACATAAGCTTTCGGCTCCACTCCTACAGCTCTGTGAGGTCATCATTGAAGTAGAGCAGAATGGCAGGTGTGTAGAGGGCACCGTCCATATTGAGATAGTCAAAATCTTCACCCTCATCCCGGATCCCGTTCTCTTCCAGGGTGAAATCCATGTTCAGTTTCTTGCCCTCGTACTTCCATGTATAGCTGGCTGCGTGTGCATTATAGGGGAGATAGCGGTGCAGGATCTCCCACATGGACTCCTTGGCCCCCACCTGCAGAACATGAAAGTGCCCCCCCACCCCGATTCTGGATGAGACACACACAGGTGCGTGTGGGCCCCAAGCCAAGGCCAGGAGCACAGATGGTAGTGCTGGGACCAGCATGTCTCCCTTGGCAGCCTCTCCCAAATGAAGCCAGAGTGCCAACGTGCAGGGAATAGCCCCAAAGTGTCACCTGTCTCTGTGGCAGTCAATTCTAACAAACAGATGGCCCTGAAGGGTCAAAGTCACTGCCCCCTTTCCCCATCCCTTCCTCAGAGAACATTAATAAGAGTCCGAGTGCAAATGCTACCCAAAACACAGCTCCCACTGGTTACGGAGAGCCGATGGCCTAAACATCTCCGAGGTTCGCTGGGACGCCCAGTTCCCGCCGACCTGCTGCCGCCGGGTTCTCACCTCCAGCGTGTGCTCCTGCGACGTGAGCGTGTTAATGATGCGGATGTTGCGGGTCTTGGCAGACAGCCGCCCCACCTCATAACGCACCCCCTGCCACCAGGGCTTCCCGAAATCATTGGCCCAGTCTGAACGCGGCAGCTGCGGCGGGACGTGCAGGAAGCGGCCCCGGGGGGTGCGGTATCTCAGGGTGCCGGTCAGCGGGTCGACGTGCTTGCGGATCTTTAAAGCAGCGATCGAGGGAGATGGATCTCCCCCGACCTCCGGCTCCAGCCAGCTCCCGCCTTTCCCCCCGCCCCGTCCCGCGCTCCCGCGGCCCGATTCCGCCCTCCCACCCCGGGCTCCAGCAGGACTCACGTCTCCGGTCTTCGCGTCGAACCAGTGGCTGATGTCCTGGCCCGCAACTTCTATGATGGGTTTTAGCAGCACGTCTCCTGGGAAGGAGCAGCTGCCGTCAGTGCCAGCCGCCCAAGGACCGGGCACCTGTCCCCCACCCCCCGATGCACACCCTGACCCTGGCGTAAGGCGCGGCCCTGACCCTTGTACTTGCGAGCCAGCGGCGTCAGGTCGTACACGGATCCCAGGTAGGACACCCACAGGTCTTCCGGCACGTTGTGCTGGGCCACCTCGGCTGCCGTGAAATAGCGACGCTGGAAAAACTCAAAGTCTGGCCCCTCCACGAGGCCTCGGCGCGGCATGGCTCTTGCACTACCGGCCACCCGCATCTCTGGTCGCTTCATCGCCCCTCAGCACGCACTCGCTCACTCAGGGCATCTTTCCCCTGGCGAGCGCGTGGGTCCGCTGACATGGAAACCATTGTCCCTCTCCGGCCACCGTCTACTGAGATCGGACGTGGGCGCGGGGGTGGGGGGTAGGAGGGCGGGAGCTGTGCGCGCTCACGGGAAATGTAGTGTGAGTCTGGCTTTCAAGTAACTAAGTTCCCTCCTCCAGAGGTCCGCGGGAAAGCGCACGCCCCCCGTTTTCAGAGTGGTCTGGGCTGGAGCGGATATTTAGGACGGACTGGCGAGGCAGAAAAGCAAGGGAGGATGGGGTGGAGTGCGATGACAAGAGGAGGTCATTCCGCTCAATTCCAGGCCTCCTGAAGGAACTGTATGAACCTAAAGCGGTGAAACTTCTCGCGATATATTAAGACATCCGGCGCCATAGACCGCGGTGAGCCCCGGCGCCGGAGGAGTGGGAGAAGCTCGCGAGATCTCTGCAGTTGCCACGGAGACGACGACGAGGGGGAGGAAGAGAGGTGATGTCGTGAAAGAAAAGAGGTCGGGAGCACTCGCGAGATCTCAGACCAACGGACTCGAAAGGTTCTTGGGAAGTTGACGAGCCCTGAAGAGGCCCCGGGGCAAATGGCCGGAGCTGGACCAACCATGCTGCTACGAGAGGAGAATGGCTGTTGCAGCCGGCGTCAAAGCAGCTCCAGCGCCGGGGTTAGCGCGGGCTCGGGTTCTGGGATCGAGGGGCAGCCTGGGTGCAAGATGGGGGGGCCGGAGGGGGAAGCACAGCTCCCGGCAGCCTCTGGGCTGGGTGGGAGCGCCCCGCGGGCTGTCGGGAGCTGTGGTTCCGGGGGGGGGGGGGGGGGGGGGGCGGTGCCGTCTCAGCGCATGTCCCGCCCCGCGCAGGACTCGGACGGGGAGCGCGAGGACTCGCCGGCCGCGCGGGCCCGGCAGCAGCTGGAGGCGCTGCTCAACAAGACGATGCGCATTCGCATGACAGATGGACGGACCCTGGTCGGCTGCTTCCTCTGCACCGACCGCGACTGCAATGTCATCCTGGGCTCGGCGCAGGAGTTCCTCAAGCCGTCGGGTCAGTGCCTGGGGGATGCACGCCCACCTGGTGCGGCGGAGCTCCCTCCTGGGAGGCGCTTCCCGCGCACAGTCTGGCTGCACCCCTGCTTTCTGGGGCTGGAAGGGGCGGGACCGACGCCGGCCTGCCTCCCTGACGCTCTGCCCCTTCTTTCCAGACTCCTTCTCTGCGGGGGAGCCCCGTGTACTGGGCCTGGCCATGGTACCCGGCCACCACATCGTTTCTATTGAAGTGCAGCGGGAGAGCCTGGCGGGGCCTCCCTATCTCTGACCGCGGCCGCGCGTGCTCGGCAGACCATTAAACCTGCAACGAAGTGCATTGTGTCCGAATGTAGCTGGCGTGTCGGGAGCACTCTCAGCCCGCCTTCCCCACCCTGGACGTGCAGGCCCCAGGGTGGGCCCCTCCATCTTCCCTCCCACGCCACTGCTCCAGGACTGCGCCTGGAGTGGTGTCATCCTGCTCCGGAAGGCCCATTGTTTCCCTCCCCGGCCTGGCAACACCGAGTTCCTCCAAGCTGGGGTCAGAGAACGGGCTCGGGTCCCCAAGGGGAGCAAGGCAGGCGATAGAGGCCGGGCCCTCAACACTCTATTGAGTGGGAGGTGACTTGAGAGTCAGGGACAGAGCTCTGGGGTCTGGCCAGGAAGAACAGGCCACCGCGATAAGGGAAGGCCCCCGGGAGGCTGAAGGATGCGCTCCGCAGCCCTGGCCCCATGTTGTTTCCTGCTTCTGGGCACAGGGCAGGGGTGACAGGAATTGTGCCATCCCCGTTCACAGGATCCCAGGGACGCATTCTGCTCATTCTTTATTGATGTGCGGTCGCTCCCCCTCCAATCTCGCCCCCTCAACCGGTAGATCCCAGAGGAGCTGCACCAGCAGAGGGACCACACGAGGTTCAGTTGTCCTGAGGGACGGAAGAGTGGGGGATGGGGGTGGGCAGGGTCCAGCCCAGATGTTCAGGATTCAGGGAGGAAAGTGGGTTTTACGGGGTATGGCAGATTTCCGCCAGCTTTGGGTCCACGAAGGCTCCGGTTTCCCCGAGGGAATGCTGGAACCCGGCTTAGGCACGGGTGGCAGCGCAGTAGGTCAGGAGACACCCCCCACCCCGTTTTTTTCAAGTCCTTGGGCCAACTGGAAGTGGGGGCAGTCGTCAGGGTGGTTCTTGACTCGCGGGTCCTCAGACCCAGACCTTTCCTGATGTGGGAGCGGCCTGGGCCCCTGGTGAGGCCCGGGTCTGCCGCGGCTGCGGGGCGCGCCGGCGCCGGTAGAGGGCTCGGCTGTATGGCACGAGGCAGTCGGCCAGGCGGAGGCGCAGGCAAAGGCGGCGGTAGCTGGCCAGGGCTAGCACGAGCAGCGGCACGAGGAGCAGGAATCCGGTGACCAGCAGGGCCGTGAAGCCCGGGTCCCGCAGGTGCGCGGTGCAAGGAGGTGCCTGGGAGCGCAGGAACTGTGGGAGAGAGCAGGCGTCAGGCCCAAGCCGGCGGGACAAACCGGGAGGGGAGCTGCGGCCCGAGGACCCCACCGCCACCCGCGCACGCAGGGCCGAGCTCACCTGGGAGTGGCAGAGGAAGCCGAAGCCGAGCATAGTGACAGCGGGTAGCAGGATGGTCCCCAGCACCAGCGCCAGCAAGAGGAGGTTGAAGGCGGCCACCAGCAGGTTCTGGGCCGTGACCAGCACAGCGCAAGCCCAGCAGTCCAGGGGGTCCCGAGGCTCTGGGCCGCCGCCGGCAGCCGGTCGCTGCGCGCCGGGGACATCCGCCATGGCCTGCCTCACTCCCGCCCGCCGGGGCCGCGGCCCTTATAGCCCTCTTTCCTGCCCCTCCCCCGGCCCAGCCTCTCCCCCCCCCCCCCCCCTTATCCTGGAATGCAGCTCCAGGATTAGGCACCCCCCAGCCCGAGGAGCGGACCAGCGCTCTGGACATTCCACAGGCGCCTCGGGGAGGGGCTCGCCCCGCCGGGGTCTGCGCAGCCGGGCCCCGCAGCCCTCCCCCCGCGTGCGCGCCCCGCGAGCTCCAGCAAGTTATCAAAACCGTATGTTTTTCTCTGATTTTATTTTTCATATTAATATTCTCACACAAAAATCACCGAAAATAGGGGTAGGGTTGGGAAGACCCCTCTTGCCCCTGGGGCAGAGAGACAGTGCAGTGCGAGGGGGCGGGGCTGTAAACCCCCCAGCCCTCCGCAGCCCCAGCGTGGGAGAGAAAAACCACCGACCGAACAAAAATAAAGCCCCGGAGAAACTCATCCCGGGGTGTCCCTGCCCCAGTGAGGCCCTGGCCCTGGGCTGGTTCACGCTTAAAAAGAAAAGGGGAGGCGGGGGGTGGGGGGAGTGAGGGGAAGGTCCGTGTTTTTAAAATTGGCCGGGGCTGGGAAGGACGGGGTTCCTTTCCTCATAGTTCTTTCTTTAAAACTTTAAATTTATTTATTTATTTATTATTATTATTATTTATTTTATTTTATTTTTTTTTTTTTACAAAATACCATTTCAGTTCCCACTTCTTCCCCTACAGTACAGGAGTCGCTCACCCTCAGGCGGGGCTGGGGTCGGGTCGGGAGTGGGGGCCTGGTCCGAGAAAGTGCAGGACGTCAGGGAGGGGAGCGGGTTTGAGCACCATGAGAGCCCGGCGGGCGCCGCGGACAGGCGGGCGGGCGGGCGGAGACGGACGGGCGGAGACGGACGGGCCGGGCCCGGACACACACTGGGGCGCAGGGAGAGCCCCGCAGCGGGCGGTCCCCAGAGGGGCGGGCGGGATGGCTTAGGGGAAGGGGGGGTGCGGGAGGTCGGGTTTTCCCAAAAATGAATAAATAGAGGTGAGTGGGACTGTTATAAATTAAAAACAACCAAAAAAAAAACCTAAAAAACAAAACAAAAACCCAGAAAATACAAATCATAACCAAGTGAATAAACAGAGACATGTACAGGGATCACAGCTAGCATTGGAAGTAAAAAAGGAGGTCCTGGGGGAGGGGTAAAGCCCATAGAAAGAATCTCATTAAACCTCGGCTGCCGTAACGTCTATGTACATGCACGGGCCGCGTGCGTCTGCGCCGGGCGGGCGGGCGGCTGGCAGGCGTGAGGGAACCCGTATGTGACCCCCGCCGCCGCCGGAGCCTGGTCCTTGTGTCTGTTGCTAGAAAGGCCAAAGTCGGTGAGGGGAGGCGCTGGTGGGCGAGGGGCTGCCAGCCCCCTCCCCCGTCTCCCATTTTTTTTCCTTTTTTCCTCTTATTTGTTAAAAAAAAAAATTTTTTTTTCTTAATAAATTAAGTGAAGGGGAGCTGCCAATGGGGTGGAAGGGCTGGGCCCGACCCCCTTCCCGGCCAGAGGCGGGACCCAGGTCCAGCCCAGGCGTGTGCTGGTGGCCCCGCGGCGCCCTGAGGGCGGGCGGGGCGTCCGGCCTCATCGCGACGTGCTGGTGGGGGCCTGCGGGGAGAAAGCGGGCACTAGGCTCAGCGGCGGGCTGGGCGGTGGCCGGCGCGCCGCGGGGGGTGGGGGGGGAAGAGCCCGCCCGCTGCCGCCGCCGGCGGCCCGGGCCTCACCAGCGTGAAGGCGTCGTAGGCCTGCGCCAGCTCCTCGGTGCGGTACTGCTCCAGGACCACCACGCCCTGCAGGCCCGCGCTGCGCCGCCGAGCGCACGCCTCGCAGTGCACCAGGTACGTGTTGCGGCTGCCATTCTCGCTTGTCACGAACAGGATGTTGAACACCTCCACCTGAGACCCGGAGGGGGGGGGCGTCAGCGGGGCGGGGGAGGGGGTGGGGAGGGCAGTCCCGAGACGGACGGGGAGGGGGGCAATCCGGGGTCGAGCACACTCACGTCGCACTCATTGCAGTAGTAGGCGGGCTCGTCCTTGACGCGGCCCTGGTAGGCGATCTTCTTGCCGGCGCGCACTAGGCTCTCGCGCTGCACCTGGCAGTGCTTCATGGACTGCAGAAGGCAGAACCTGCACATGGTTGGGGCGAGGGCGTGGTGAGGGCCGGAGGGGGGCGGGTGTCAAAGTCCCTGACCTGGGGCATCTGTCAGAGCTGACACTTCGCGTGGCTTTTATCTACTTGGATCAGAGAAAAAGAAAGCGCCTGAGAGCCGGGGCCCATGGCCATCCCAGCGCGGGCACAGTGCGGGACATGGGGACAAGGTGGGGCGCCGGGTGGCGCTGGACAGGAAGCACTAGACCGGGGCCTGCTCGGATGGAGACGGGCTGCTTCCCACACGGGGCCCTCACTTGATCATCTTGAACAAGTCCGGGTCGCTGATCTTGACCGTGCGAGCCACGTTCCAGGAAACGTGAATCATGGGCACGATGGATTTGACGTTCTTCACCTCGTTCCACTCGTATCGTTCCAGGGCCAGCTGGTACTGATAGGCTGCGGGCCACAGGGGGTACTGAGGATGCGCCGCCAGCCCAGACCGTGGCGCAGTGGCGCAGGGACAGGCCCCTTCCTCACAGCGGGCTGCGCTCCCGCCCCGCGCGCCCCCGCCCTCTCACCGGTGAGGGGCCCCACGTTCCAGGCGATGTTGTTGCACCAGCCGGTGGCCTGCACCCAGTGCACGGTGCCCGCATTAATCCACACGAGGTCTCCAGGGCGCTGCACGAAGCGGTACACGGGGATATTGGAAGCATAAAGGTCATCCAAGATCGGCCACCAGGAACCAGTCAGGTAGTCCACACCGTGCCTGCGGGGTGGCCACAGGGTCAGAGGGGAGGGGAAGTCTGAGGACCCCGGGCCGGGCCTGCGGCGGGGGGGGGGGGGGGGGGGGGGGGGGGGGGGGGGGGGGG